CCAGGCGGCCCGCTTCTTCCGCCCCCTCCGGCCCAGCCCCCCGGGGCCCAAACTGCCCCCCTTCTGGTACTGGAACAGGGTCACCTGGAAACACAGGGCCCCCACCCCCGAAACACAGCAGGGTCAGCACCCTCCCGGACGCCGGGGTCCTCCGCTCCATCCCCCTCCAAGAGGTGAGGGACATGAGCTGCCGTCCCGGATGCCTGGGTCCCATTCCCCATCCCTGTCTTCAGACCCCCCTAGGGGTCACAACCCTGCTTTGCTGTCCCAGACACCTGGGTCCCATTCCCCATCCCTGTCTCCGGCCCCCCAGGTGTGACAACCCTGCGCTGCTGTCCCGGACGCCTGGGTCCCCTCTCGGTACCGAGGAAGCAGTGGTCTCTCCGATGATGCCGGCCACCTGCCGGATGTTGGCGTTGTCGGTGAAGATGACCTGGCCCCCGGAGCTGCGGGCCAGGTCTACGTACAGGTCAAAGCGGTCAGCGGCCAGCACCTCCCGCCTCACCCGCGTCCTGGAGGGGTCCTCCGTGATCAGGAAAGTCACCTGGCGAGGAAGCAAGAGGCGGTTAGACTCCCCAGGGAGCTGCGAGACAGTGGCTTTGTTATTGCAGGGCCTACTCAAAGCGCGGAGGCGGTTTTGGTTTGTTATTTAATCTTTTGTGGGGCGGTTTGTTATGGTAGGGCCTACTGAAAGCGCTGGCATTGTTTTGGTTTGGTTTTGTAGGACCTACTCAAAGCGCTGGGGTGGTTTTGGTTTGTTATTTAATCATTAGTAGGGTGGTTTGTGTTATATCCGGGCCTAACACAATGCTCTTCTTGTTTTGGTTTCCTGTTGTTAGGGAGGTTTGTTATTGTAGGGCCTACCAAAAGTGCTCTCCTTAGTTTGATTTCTCACTTCTCTCGGTTCGGGTGGTTTGTTATTACAGGGCCTCCCGGAAGTCCCGACGTCGTTTTGCTTTACCGTTTACCTTTGCTCTGCCCGTTTGTTATTGTAGGGTCTCTCAAGCATCCGTTTGTTTTGGTAGGGTCTCCCACCCGCCAGGGGCTGCCCACCTTGCACCTGCGCTCCTGGATCAGGGCCTCCACGCTGGTCCGGAGGTGGGCGTCCTTCGCTGAGGCGTCCGTGAAGACGAAGATCTCGGACATGGGGGGCGAGTGCAGCAGGGCCAGCTGGGGGGGGATACAGAGAGCTGTCGGGGGGGGTCAGATGGAGGGGGCTGTGGGCCGGGGGACCAGAGAGCTGCGGGCGGGGGGGGGG